ATATATATATATATATTTCACATTATTCTCGTTTAATTATATATTTTTCGTACTAAATTATTCAAATTATTTTATTCCAAGATAAAATTATTAATTTAATTTCGTGAAAATATTCCGTTGTCGTCACTACCTTTTTAATAATATCTATGAAGTCGCAGATACGCAACATTATTCCAACTGACGTTTTAATTATTGACGTGGAAATTGTAAGGTTTTTTTTTACTATGATCGTACGCGATGATCGATCAATGTGTCATTTTTTGTCTCCGGTCGGTAGTGGAAGCCATCGCGTCGAGCGTGCGAAATCGCGACTAATCGCGGCGCGATCGTGGATTCGCGCGCGCATCTCCCGGTCCTGCGTGGGCGTCGCGACGTTACGCAGCACGCCGGCTCGGGCGTATACGGACGGCGGCGGCGAGCGGCTGTGCGACGCCTCGCGCCGCCGTCTCGCAGTAGGCGACGCGACCTCGGCCCGTCAGGATCGCGTGGCTGATTTACGTCCGAAGTGGCGGGGGTCGTGTCGGTCTTTTTCACGCACGACAGCGGCCACGGCGGCTTAAGTAATAAGAAAAGAATAAAAAAAAAGAGATAAAAGAAACGGCCCCGGCTGCCACGTGTTGCCACGACAGCCTGGCATTTATTACGGCATCCCGAATCATAAGAGCGTGAAGACCGAGAAGATGACACAGTTACACAGTGAAAAAAGACACGCGTCGCGAGCTAATCAGCGGGACGATACGAGTGTCGATTGATGCATATGTACACGAGAGTAAAAAAAAGTGGTGAAGTGTGGAAAATTAGGTTGCGATTTGAGGAAAACGCGTGCAAAGTCATCAAGAGATTCACACGAGATTACGCGGGAGATTCCTGGATCGCGACGACGGGGAAGAAAACGGTGCGGGAGGACCGAGAGTGAGTGTCATAATAAGCAGAACACGCGTAACGTATAAAATTGGCTCGCGATATCGCGTGCACTTCGCACGGTGACGCAATGCGAGACCGCGAGTACAAATGACCGGCGATATGCATGTATTATATCACAGTCGACAACGACGACGACTATTATGTTAGAATCCGAAGATAAAAAGAGAGAGAAAGACGGAGAATGAGAGAAAGAGAGAGAGAGAGAGAGGGAGAGAGCGCGCGCGCGAGAGGGGGAATCGATGCGATTATAGTTCCGATCCTGCGGTAGGCGAGCCGGAGAAGTAGTCACGGCCGCGCTAGGAAGCCGCCGTAGATTTCTCCCCGCCGCGCGTCTGACTCCGCACGACCTTTTCCACTTTCGACTATCTCCCGGACTGTGCGCGCGCGGGGGCATTCTTCCACAGTGATATGCGAACCCGCCATATATCTTGGCGGTTTTCAGGTCGTTAGCGGTGCCAGAGGGGAGATCGGGCGGGAGAAACGGGAAACGCGCGTGGGTCGTCGCCCGAAACTTTCCGGAACGCCGCTTTACTCGAGAACAGAAGCATCCGTTGACGCTCGGGATCTCGGACGACCCCGTTCCTCGGTCTCGTGGCTCGTGTCAACATAACGATAAGTTAAATTTCCGGAGTGTCTAAGTTCGCTCGTTCGCTCGCTCGCTCGCTCGCTCGCTCGCTCACACGGTGGGATTATAATCGTCTGTTCGCACGCTCGATACTGGATTGTTTGTAAACTAACGCTCCGGCCGTTTGAATCGCAAGGACCGTTCGCCGAAGAGGTTGTGCCGGGCACGAGAGCTCTCGAGCTCGTCACATTTGCATTCGCGAATGTAGGTTCGCGTTATTTTCGTATTCCACGAACCTCTTTTACAAGTCGAGTTCTCTTTCTCTCTCTCTCTCTCTTTCTCTTGTCTCGCTCGCTCGCACGGTCGTTCGATAACTTCTGCAGCACTGAAATCGCAAGTCATAGTCAGCCTTTAAAACGTTCGTGATTTAAAAAAGATCGATCGGTCGCGCGCGCGTCTCTTGACGATCGTCTCAAGAGCCGACTCCGAACTAGCGCTGCCGCCGCCGCCGCCGCCGTCGCGCTGTTTGTAAACAGCATCGATCGACGGTTTGTGCCCGGTTTAATCGGATCAGCGGCTAATCCGCCCGTTGACGCTTGCTAAACGTTACTTCAATTTTTTAGCCCGCTGCTTAATGCCTCCCCGCAAATCGTCCATCAATCGCGCGATTGCGTTTTTTCTCTCCTCTCCCTTTTCCCACCGCCGACCGCAATTTATTTACCTATTCGTTCTACTCACAGAAGTTGTTGCGCGATCAGTTTGAGTTCTTCTTTACGCAAATTTGGACGAGGCTTTTTAATCTTTAAAACACCGTCCTAAAATATCAGACGCTTTTATCGAATTCGAAGATGATAGTTCAATTTCAAGCATAACATAATGATCATGTAGTAAGGAATATTAATTTCGAAAGAAGGAAATAAAGTAATATTTTAATTCTTAATCGATTAGTGTGTGATAGACCTCTTATTTGTTTTTAATTTTTTGATTAGCTGGGTTGAACATAATGTTAATTATTTTTCTCGATTGTCCGATATAAATAAAAATTTAGAAAAAATAGAGATAAAAAAATTATTTATATGGATAATTAAGGGAATTAAAGATATTTCTCTTTCTTGTTGTATTAACAAGTTTCATAAAATTTTTATAATATATTTGAACAATGTCGCGAGTAATCATGTCACATTGTGCTTTATTTGTGCTGAGTAAGCTAAACTGCCAAGATCTTTCTACCGTCACAAGCACAAGAGATCATGAGGTTAAACTGTCCGACAGTTTCGCTAAGAGTTCGGTTCGTCCCATCGAACGTCCAAAGTTTCCCGCGAGATCGACCGAAAATCATGGAAGCTTTTAACCCTTTCAGTCTCGCAGAATGGCAACGTGAAGTGCTGCCAACCAATGCGCCAATTCGCTAATGTGCCAACAATAGTCGGAAGGTTTAGTAAATGTGAGGTTTCATTATAACACGTCACGAAAGAGATTGCCTCGGTACAACGCGATATAATTGTGAAATTTATAGTTTTCGGAACATTATTAGAATATCAAAGGGATTGCAACAGCACTTTTATTCTATAAAACTATTATAATTAATTATAATCCTACGATATTATCGTTGTTTTTGCAATACTATTATACTATCCATTATCTTTGACTACAACGTAAAAATAAGATCTTGAAATAAAATTTTTGAAAAAAGAGAGCAGTTACGAGCTGAAATAAATGTCAATCTAATTGCATTTTGCGTTAAAACACACAGAGTTTTTTATAATATATTTTTGCAATACACCCGCGTGACACCTTATTTCAGCTTGTGATAATTTCTCCTTTCCCGAAAATTAGATATATCTAGAAATAAACTAATTTAACACGTTATTTTAAAAGAGAAAACACTCCAATTTTTTGTAGTTAAAAAAGAAAATACTCATTCCCGAAGAGGGTTAATTGTCGTGTATTCGCGCGACGCTCTCACAATTACGGCTCCACTTTTAGATCGTTTTCCCAAACGTGCCGACGAGGTTGTACTCGTAAACTTGGCCTATCGGTCTACATATATCGGTTTAACGAGTTGTTCTGCCCGAGTGCCAAGGGTCGAGCGGGATTTTGCGGGAACAAAGCCGCCACCGCCTAGTTGGATGATAGAAGCATTTATTCCGCGGAGAATGGTTTCCGACGTGGCTATTATACGCGCGATCCTTCGCACCGCCTCGAACATGATGCAAATATTGTTTATCGATCCTCCGCTTCTAATTTGCCAAATTACTCTTTCGCCCCATTCCAAGAAAGGTACGCTCGTTAGCGACTTCGCGCAAATGGACGCGCCCGCGTTCACGGTTCGTACGCGTGTCACGAAAGACGACGCGGTTTAAATTAGGGCCATAATTCGTCGAGATTAATTTTCGACGATGCAAACACGCCACGGGCGGATTTCCACGAGAGGACGCGAGCCAAAGCGTTCCGGGTTAATTTTTCTGTCCGAGATTTCACAAAGACTTCTTGTGTCTACGTGAAGAAAATATTCTTGCCGCAATTGTGCAATTCTGTAGAGTTAGTTTAATCACTTCTATACATCTATTTTATATAATTTTTCTTACTGACATTGCAATGCATTATTTCAAAAGTTTCTTTAAAAACTATTTAAGAATTATTTAAAAAATGAAACTCTACGCTATCAGATTTATAATTTATAGTATTAATTTTTATTCGATTTTTAAAATATAAAAGAACTTCTAGAATATACGAATCGATAAGTGTATAATCGTTGCATACTGGCAAGCGAAGGACAGCGCGAGATCATAAAGAATATAAAGAATTGTTAATGTATACACCGCTAATGCGTTTTCTCACGTTTCCGTCGTGGCAAAACTCTAAGCGAGGTTTGCGTGCGCTCAAGTAACTTTGTGCTAATAATCTGTCGGATTCGCGCCGTGATAATGGTCGCTCGTTTCTCATCTTCCCGTCATCGAAACCTCTCTTCTCGAGTTTTCATCGTCCGACGGATCTCCCCCACATCTTCGGCTGACAAGGAAGGGAGAGATCTCGCCACCGAATTATATCATTGCGCGCCTCGTTTATCTCGCACCTCAGGCATTTCTTTCTGCTGCCAGATTTAATTTTCTTAGCGCGTACGTACGATGAAAAATAAACGAAGAAACTTTCGAAGCTGTCAAGGAGATATATGAAGCGCGTGAAATAATATAGTATTGGCCGTTATTAATTTGTAAGCGTGTACAAAAATGTTCTCAAAATTTCAGATAAGAAGGGATCAATTCTTATGAAACATACAGTTGTTTCATTGTCTCTACGTTCTATCCTCTCTACTTTCCTTATTCTAATTCAGTAATGTTACTAGTTTTTTTTTTATAATTTGCATCTCTGACTGATCGCGCCATATTAATTAAAGAAAAACGCAACGCAAGTTAATTTTGATTTTAGAGAAACTTTTAATGAATTTTTTAATTAATTTTGTAATATATTTAAAATTTTATTAAAAATAAATATTGATCCACGTTTGAACAAGTTATTTTAATCCAATCGTGCGATTTTCCCACCTTTTCGACGTTTCAGCGTTTCAACAAATTTAACGCGCGAATCTTGCACCATCCTTTCGACATCGAGTGCTTTGTCTATTTTAATCTTTCTTAATCGCCTTTGTGCGCCACGATTCGCGCGAAGGCGGCATCAAGCGCGCAATCAAAGTGTCGCGAACAGACAAACGCGCCTGCGAGAAGAAGACGGAGAAGCAGCGCGCGGGCTAGAAGTGTCTGGCGAATTTGTATGACTTGTTGTCTACCCAAGCCAGCAGTTTTGAGTAATCGCTCTCACTCCCCCATCGTCTGCCGCCGCCGCCGCCGACGCTCCGAGACCATCTCTAACCCCAGCCCTTCGGTCGTCACCCTCGCGCGGGTTTCCCGGCGCGCACGACCTACCCCGGGGCATTCTTTACTCTCCCATCAACACGGCGCCCGCCGTACCGTCGTCGTCCTTGCTTTCGTCTTCGTCTTCGTCTTCGTCGTCGGGTCCTCCTCAGGGTCGTCCCTAGGATCGAAGCGCACACGCAGGCACTCCCGGAATCTCGTTTGTACATTTATTTTACCCCCTTCGATGTTCCTCTCTCTCTCTCCTTCTAACGTCCTTCCACTTTCTTTTCTTTTCTTTTTTTCTTTCTTTCCTCTCTCGCACCGTTCCTCGATTCGCTGTCGCAGTCGGAGTGGCATGGAGCGGTGGGAAATAAATGGCCCCTAATGGATTTCTTAGACGTGCGCGCGCGCGAGGGCGGGCGGGCGGACGCGGCGGAACTCAGGTGCAGCCAGGAGTGCTCCGGCCCTCGAAAGTACGGCGGAACTCTAAATTACAGGAATCGCTGGCTCTCATCTCATCGCTGCCTCTCTTTTTCTCTCCCTCTCACCAGCATTCGACAGATCGCAGC